ATGAAAGCCAGGTTAATAGAAAGTAAAAAAAGAAACTGATGATGACAATTCAAAGGGATAATCACCAGGACTGGGTAAGATATAGCTTGAGGATCCTCAGATTTCAAATCTCAGAATTAAATTTCCAACCAGAGGGTTCAACCTCCAATGACACTTTGCATTTGCTCATTTAAGTAAAATGCATCTTTGACTCACAATGCTTCACAGAAAACTGAAAGGAGGAAGTCACTTTTTAAAGGCTTAGTCCCTGGTTAAAAATCATTGCAACGTATGTATGTATAACCAAGAAAAGGGGTGAGAAAAAAGATTGCTCCTCAAATTGGAAACCAAGTATTTTACAAATTAAACAGCTAACTTAACAATACCACCACTTTTGGTTTGCATAACAGGTTGTACTTGACAAAGTACTTTCACTGATACCATTTTATTTAAACTCCTCTCAGACATAAATTATGTCCACCTGATTGATGAAGTATTTCTAGTGAAGAAAAAGGTGGGAAATTCCTACAGAAATTATTTTATGCTGGATCAACACAACTCAAACAATAAGCAAACTGCCAACCACAGAACAAAACCCAAACACATTCAAACAAAGCATCAAAAGCCCGTCCCAACTTGGCAGCCATCTATCTACCTCTTTTTCTGGTCTGGTCTTTTGCTGCAAACTCCAGGCAAACTCCAATACTTCACTGAATGTAAGCCCTTTCCTGCCTCCACACCTTTGCTCTTGGTTTCCTCTAGCTGGGATACCTTATCAGACACCTTTGCCTGGATGTGTTGCAAACACCTCGAATAAAATATGTCCAAAATTCATTTTCTTTCCATGCTACCTCCCCAACTTACCCCTCTCCTCTCACATTACTTACCTTAGTGAATGGTACCACCCAGTTCCCTAAGCCAGAAAGCGAGGCATTCATCCTAGACTACTCCTATTTCTTCATGTCCATAAACAATTAGCCTCTAATTCAATGGATTCCATCTTTGAAATACTGCTCAAATGTGATCCCTCCTCTCCTTCCCACTGTCACTGTCTTAGTTCAAGCCGTGACTGTGGCAAAAGCTTCCCAACACTGGTCTACTTCATGATCATGTCCCTTCCAACTTGACAAACTAAACTTACTTTTTTTTTTATTATTTTTATTTAAAGATTTTTATTTATTTATTTGACAGAGAGAGAGATAGCGAGAGCAGGAACACAAGCAGGGGGAGTGGGAGCGGGAGAAGCAGGCTTCCTGCCGAGCAGGGAGCCCGATGTGGGACTCGATCCCAGGACCCTGGGATCATGACCTGAGCCGAAGGCAGACGCTTAACGACTGAGCCACCCAGGCGCCCCTTGACAAACTAAACTTTCTAAAACATAAATCTGACCACATCATTTTCCTACATAAAACCCTTCAAAGCATCCTCACAAGCTTTCTAAGATCCACATTATTCAGCATGATTTACAAGGTCCTTCATATTTGACCCACCACTTCCCACTTCCTTCACGTCTCTATGCATTACTGAAATTTCAGTCACACTGAACTAGCCATGGTCTTTCACATGTCCAGATCTCCATGTCCTTGCACTCTTTGCCTGTAAATCCCTTTTCCAGATTCACCATATGGCTAAATAAGTCCTGCTAGACTTATCCTCCATTTTCTCCTCAAAGCGTAGATACCCGGCTCAGGTATTCCTCCTCTATTCTTGCATAGCCCTGTGCTCACACAGTGCATTATGACGGTAAGCCATCCCCGACCCACCCCCCACCCCCCATGGTAACAACTGTATTCCTAGCCACCAGGGCCAAATGCCTCATTTAATATGTGCCTCAAACATATTAAGGGCTCAATGAATGAGTGGTGAATGATGAATGTGCTGGGCTGTCCTGTTTTTCACTTGAACAGGGATCCCTACAAAGAGCTTCAACTAACACAGTTCTGATAGTAACCCCTGCCTTAAAAGGTTCTCATCCTCTCTTCATCAAGCTTATTGCTATTTATTCTTCAAAATTCACCTTAAATTCTGCTCTGCAGAAGGGATTTTCCTGAACCCCAAGTTATATACTTCCATAGTACCCTGTTCTTTCCTAACACTCATCACATTTATAGTTACTTCTTTTTATTTTTTTTAATTTTTTTAATTTTTATTTATTTATTTGACAGAGACAGAGATAGCGAGAGCAGGAACACAAGCAGCAGGAGTGGGAGAGGGAGAAGCAGGCTTTCCCCCGAGGAGGGAGTCCGATGTGGGACTCGATCCCAGGACCCTGGGATCATGACCTGAGCTGAAGGCAGACGCTTAACGACTGAGCCACCCAGGCGCCCTATAATTACTTCTTAAACGTCCCTGCAAAAGCTCTATGTGGGTAGGGTCTGGCTTGTTTTGTTTCAAAACTGCATTCCCTGGATATGGCAGTGCCTGACTGAATAAACAGAATTTGTTACACTGAATTTAATCCTGTGAGGTAAGCAGAGATCTCCACTTAAAAGCTGAGAAAAATAAAGCTCAAGGAAGTTAAATAATGCATCTATGGCTACAGATACTTAGCAGTGGGGCCAGACCAAACCTGAACCATCTGATTTCAGGTCCAGAAGTATGCAATACCTTCAATAAAGTTAACTAAGCCTTTCAGAATAGGAGCAAAGGACCTGGAGGAATGAGAGGCTACCTGACTGCAAATACAAAGACCTGTCCCACTCTCTTTGAAAAACTCCCCAGGCATTCCAAACAGATTGCATTAAACAAAAAACCAAACAAAACCAAAAAAACACGCAGCGGGTGGTCTTTAACCTGCAGCGCCCGCGAGACGACACCAACTGGAAGATCACTCAAGAGGTAGAGAGAGGTTCCTGGGAAATAGTCGTCGGAAGGAACTGGAACTGATGATCTAAGGAATTGAGGTCTTGATTCCAATTATTTCCCTCACTCGCTATAAGAGCATAGACCAGCCTCTTCGTCCCGGGGATCAATTTACCCATCCGTGCAATGGGGACGAAATGGGGGGGGGATAGACTCTAAGGTGTCGCTGGTTCCTTAGGAATGCCTACGTCTGGGCACCTTAGGAATCAGGCCCCGCTGAGGCTGACAGCCAGGACTGCGAAATCCAGCGGAGGGGCCTCCCCACAGGAGCCCGGCTCAGTTGGTCACCCTAGCCCCACCTCAAGAGACCGCGCCCAGGATCCCGGGTCGGCCTGACGGCCTCCGCTCCGGCCCCTTCAGTAGGGCTCGCCACGCGCGCGAAGGCCGGAAGGGCCATTCATAACACCAGGGGCCGGTGGGCCGCGGAGTGGACCCCAGTCCCTACCCGGCCGCGTACCCTCACCTCAGAGTTCCGCCTCACCTCCCGACTGCGATCAGCCGCTCTCCACTTCCGGCAAGAACCGCCCAGCAATCTTCGCGCGACCCACTTCCGGGCCCTTACTGGGCGCGGCACCCCCACCGGAAATGGACGGCCGCTGAAACGCCGCGGTGGAGGAGAGACCGGGAAGGAAGTCTGGCCGCCCCGCTCGTGGCTCCGCCCCCTATTCTCCATGCCCGGAAGGGAGAATCCTCACTAGACCCGAGGGCACATGGGAGAGAGTTCCGCCCCCAAAGCGAAAGCGGCCGGGGGAGCGCGCTCAAGGGTAGGCCACGCCTCTCCGCCAGAGTCGTCCGGGCCAATGAAGGGCCGAAATTACCGGCTAAGCTCCACCTCCGGAGAAGGAAGACAGGTGAGTGGTTAATTAGTGCTCCTATCACTGTGTCCTCAATGGCCGAGGCCGGTGCCTTATCCTCGCAGTAGGAAAGGGGACTTGGAGGGACTGGGAGGCAGGATTCTGAGGGCGAGAATCCCGGACAATCGTCCGTTCTCCAAGGAGATTGAAGCTAAGCTCCGCCTCTTTGGGCATGCGTACCTCAGTTTCCCCGTTTGTGACGTGGGGAGGCCGTTGGTCTGGACAGTGTTCTGGGGGTACCTGCCGAGGCTGGCGTGGCGGCGGAGGGGGTGGGTCGGTGGGGGCGCGTGGGCCCAGCCCTGGGTTTCTGGGCGTGTCCGCCATCGCCCCGCTCGCTCTTCCTCCGGGCTGGGAAGGTGGAGGCTCGCCCCACTTCCTGTTTGTTCCGTGTGCTCTGTGACCATAGATGGTCAGGTCTGGGGCCGCGCGGAAGCCTCCGCCCCGCGGTTTTGGAGTCCTTCCTCCCCGCGTGCTGGGTGTGGTCGCCGAGAATAAGACGAGCGGAATTAGAGAACATCCTGCTCCGCTCCGCTCCGCTCCGCTCAAACCCGGCTTGTGAGGCCGCCTCGCCGGGAGCGGGGCGTGCCCTGCCGCCTGCCACTTAGTCCGGGGGACGTTCTTCTCGGCGGCTACAGCCGGGGGTGGGGCGGGGGTGGGGGAGACTCGCTTCCGTGCTCCCCCGGCCTGGGATCAGCTTTGTTTCCTCAAGGCTCACACTTTCCAACCGGTGATTATCCTCCCACAAAGATTTATTTCCAGAAAAATTGGCGAGTGCTACTGTCCCCACTCCTTCAGCTAAACTTCTGTGACAGCTCCAAGCTTCAAGTTGAATGCAGGCGTTATATGCCAAAGTCACTCATTCAACAAATACAGTTCTTATAATAACAGCTACCATTTACTGCGTGCTGACAACGTGCCAGGCCTGTGCTGAATGCTTCAGAACATTTTCATGTAATCCTAATAGGAACGCTCTGTGGTAGGTACCATTATGGCCTCCAGTTTTCAAAATGAATAAGCTGAATTACTTGCCAAAGTCACAGAGTAACTTGGAACTTTGAAGGGAACACACTTATCTGATGAAATCCCATGAATTTAACCCCTACCATAGACCATACCAAAATAACATTTGCCACAGTTTCGAGACGGTGATGCCTCTGGATAGGGAGACATCCTGGGTTCCATTCCTGGCTTGGGCACTTTACTAGGGGTTAGATTGGCCAGGTTACCTGACTTGGCTGAACCTGGGCCTCTTTTTTAATTTTATGACTTCCAATATGTTAAAAAAAAAATGACTACATGACAAAATATGGTACAAAAAATGTATATTTTAAATATTTACATTGAACAAAAACACTGTGTCTCTCTCACACACACACATACAACACAAAAACTTTAACTTTATTCAAACATAACATCAAATGGTTATATTTGAGTGCTTTATGTATGTGAAGCCTATGGCAAATATCCTCCCTCGCCATCATTGTAAGCAGCTCTACATTTAGCCCTAAATATCTTTCTGAATTTAGAGACAGGAAATACTTAGACATGCATCCCAGGGGAAGGGGAAAGAGAGAAGGAAACAGGAAGGAGAAGAAAGAAAGGAAGAAAATGGGGATAATGATTTGTGGGGTTGAAATGAGAAACAGAAGCAATAACCTATATGAAACCACACTGTTAAGTGATTCTTCGTAAAGAGTGCACACATGAGTGAGTCACAACCCTGGCCCCCAAGGAACTTTTCATCTTTTAAGGAGTCTAAGCACAAGTACTTCTAACTCCAGTGGGAGGCAGTTTAAGAGCAGTATCTACCACTTTTATTTATTCATTTATTTATACACTGAAAAAAAAAATACTGAGTTCTTCCTCTGTGCTAGGCACCATGCTACTTTGCACAAGGCACAAGGAAGAGTATGTGAATGGACAAGTCAGACTCTCACTGCCCTCATGGAGCTTACAATCTATTGGGGAACAGGTATTGCCATCTGGGGCAGTCATCAGAAGTGCTGACTATTGGCTTCTAGCTTTTCCCTCCTCACTGATCTTGCCCAGTTTCTTATCCATGGTGGGCTCTCATCAGACACATGTCCAATGAGTACCTGGAATTCAGAATAGTCATTTCCTGGGCTGTGATGGGTGGGGAGAACATTGAAGAGCAAACATGAGTAAACAGTAGTGGAGGTGGACCCAGTGACTAGCTGAGGTGAGAGGATCCTATAGGAGATGAGGATGAAGAGAAAGAGGTTGAGCAACCCGTGCCAGACAGGAGAGGTAACACCTTAATGTGAAAGCAAGGAGGAGCTGGTCAGATTACATTTTAGAAATACAACTCTAACTGCAGGGTAGAGCATGGGCTTCTGCGGGGGGGGGGGGGGGGGGGGGCGGGACAAAGAGGCAGGGGGATCTGTTAGAAGACAGGTACAAAGGTAGCAAGGGTCTGAATCGAGGCTGTGACATGGGGATGCAGCAGAGATGCCATTGTTATAAAGGGCATCGTAAGGAGGAAGATGACAAGGAGAAAGACAAATGGCAGGGGGATGATCTAAATATGAACCTCCAGGTTAGATCTAGTTCCCCAGGTATATACTCCCATTGAATACTATGTTTCCCTTCCTGGCAGGTATCACAGCCTAATTGAATAATTATCTGTACACTTGTCTTTTAATGTTTCTTTCCCTGTAAGTAACTTGAGGTTAGAGTCTTTGCCTCTCTGGCACAAAATTGATACTCAATAGATATTTATGGGAAAATGTGACTAACTGAAAAGGGTGAGAGGGGCTAAGGTGGCTCTGAGACTTGGAGCATGGGTGAATAGAAGGCGGCAAGAAGACTGGATCAGGGCTTGGGGGTTTTGAGCCTCAGACTTCAAAATCATCCAGCCTGGGAAGAGAAAGGAATGCAGTGAATCATTTTGCAAGCAGAATTGCCAACAGAGATTTGATTGATTATCACAAAATTCCCTTCTTCATGTGTTTTGCCACTTTCGTATTTTGCCTGGATTTCAGCACATTCTAAACCTGCAGAATTGCTTTGTCTCTGAGGGTGCCACCCAAGATTCTTCCTTATCTCTCTGAGTTTCAGACACAGAAGTCTGGCGGTTCATCTGGAGCATTTCCCAGCCTGGCTCAGAGGATTGCCTGTATCTGTGCAGCCTGGCTCAGAGCCTGTCTGTATTTGGGCAGATCCTGTATCCCCCTGCCAGAAGGGATTGATAACAGACAACAATCTCTGTGAGCCCATATTTCTTCCTCTCCTAGAATAGGGTCCCAAGTCTCCAGCCTGAGTTAGGGTCTCAGGTCCAAAAATTACAAATCAACAAAAGAAATATTGGCAATATAATATAGTGGTTAAGATCTGGCTTTGATGGGGCGCCTGGGTGGCTCAGATGGTTAAGCGTCTGCCTTCGGCTCAGGTCATGATCCCAGGGTCCTGGGATCGAGTCCCGCATCGGGCTCCCTGCTCCTTGGGAGCCTGCCTCTCCCTCTGCTTCTCTCTCTCTCTGTCTCTCATGAATAAATAAATAAAATCTTTAAAAAAAAAAAAAAAGATCTGGCTTTGATGTCACTCAGACCTGAACTTGAATCCCACTCTGCCACTTACTGTTTGATCTGGGTCTAGTCAGTTAACCTCAAAGAAGGATATTAATACTCATCTTGAATGGTTGATATGAAGATTAGGAGAGAATTTATAAAACATCTGGCTCACAGTAAATATGAATGAGAAGTAACAATTATTACTCAATACATATAGTCTATTGCCTGTGTTCCTGGTGAAGGCCACCAGAAAGCAAAACAAGGTCTGGATGGTTCTACCAGAGCCATTGCTGTTACTGCCCCATCACCAGAAAGTTTCCCCACAGTGTCTGCTTCTTTACATTGCTACCTTTTGATCCAAAGTCTGGACCTGTGCCCTTGGCTGCAAGTACGACTAGATAAATCAATTAAGAATATGAATGCTGGGGCGCCTGGGTGGCTCAGTTGGTTAAGGGGCTGCCTTCGGCTCAGGTCATGATCTTCCCTCTACCCCTCCGCCCTGCTTGTGATCTCTTGCGTGTGCATGCTCTTTCTCTCTCAAATAAATAAATAAAATACTTTCTTAAAGAAAGGAATATGAATGTTTTGGCTGTAGACAACAGGACACATGAGTTTGGTGACTTTTTTCTTAAGTATATTTTTCCCAAGAAGAATAGAGGTAGGCAATTTTACTGGCTCAGTAAAATCAGCTGATACCTCTGTGATTCAGTTAGACTTATCCTTAGAGTTGCAAGTTGGCTGTCATAGCCCAAGCCATCACATCATGTTTAAGGAAAGAGGAAAAAGGAAGAGGAAGGTACAGCATCTGAAATTGGAAAGCTAGTTTTCTGAGGAACTCCACAAAGCATACCCTGCTTTCTATCTCATAGCCAGAACCAACAGTCAACAAACATTTCAGCTTCCTGGTCCCTCAAAGAGACACTTCCAAGGTGCACATTTCACAGTGTTTTTGAGGGTCCCCAGAAGGACCAAGCCCCAGCTGCCCACAGCAGTAACCCACTCATTAATGAGTCCTTTACTGGCTTTTCTCCCTATTCCAGAGTCATTTATCTCATGGAACCCATACTAAAGAGAATGGGATTAGCTGGCTCTGCAACCCTAAGAAAGTGATAGCATTGTCGGCTTTGATGCTGTAAGGGGCACTCTCTGTCTGGGATGTTACCCAAATATATAAAAGGGTTGCAGATGCTGAGTGTCCAGTAGGAATGATAGATGTCCACTATAATAAATGCCGGGAATGGCCCAACATCAACATATACTCTTCTTTCTATACTTACACTTCAAAAATGAAACAAAACTCCTCAGTAAAACAACACCTTTTATAACCTAAATTGTCATCACCGTACTCACCCCTCTACCCTCCCCCCAAAAAGGAATTGACAAAACTCTCATCAGTTACTTCATCCAGCTCCAAGTCCAAGATATCCAAATAATGTGTGTCTTCTGCTAGTTCCATAATGATGCTTCCTCAGTGTTCCTCAGCCTATGGACTGATCTTTAAAGTCAACCACCACAACATAGTACATCCTATATATGTTGCGGGGGAAAGGAGAAGAAAATTAGATACAATATGTAACTACTGAACTGACATGGCAAGAAACATTTCTATAGCAATCACAAGGTCTTAGTTGATGGTTTTGACTTCATGACTTTACATATCCATTACCCATTCCACATTCTCTGTCTTCAACCAGCACTTCAGTTCATCAGGGTCACAGCGACTGGACAAGAAAGAGGGCATGAAGGCATGCTGCAGTCTTCAAGGATCTGATCAAGAAGTGGCATATATTACTTCCACTACATTGCGTGAACTAGAATATAATCACATAGCTTGTAGTTGGGGCTGTGAGGTTTTTCTTCTTCCTTTTTTTTTTTTTTAAGTTAAGCCCATCGTGGGGCTTGAACTCAGGACGCTGAGATCAAGATCTGAGCTGAGATCAAGAGTCAGATGCTTAACCAACTGAGCCATCCATGCGGCCCAGGACTATGAGTTTTCTATAGGTGACTCAGACCTTCTCTCCTAAGGGATTGGAGGTCTTGCCTGTCCTGCCTGTAAAATATTCCCATAACATTCTGCACTAAACATGGCAGGAGTAGGAGGACCGCTAAGGATCCCCTGAATTATATCCCTAATCCTCCCTTCCTATAGTATAGTGACAGTTCTCCTTTGCCTTGATAATAGGCTCATTCACCCGAGCCAACCATCATAATCCAAGACATGCATGTAAAGTTTAACAATAGGCTCTCCAAGCCCAGATTTGTAGCATTTGCCAATTTCTGTAGTATAAATACTCCCACCGTGGCCAGTTTTTAACTAACAATATGTCACTGAATATAGAGTTGAGAAAAAGGCACTGTGGTATATGGAATAATGGCTCTCCAAAGATGACCACATCCTAATCTCTGGGACCTGTGAATATACTATCTTACATGGCAAAGGGACTTGGCAGATTTGATGAAATTAAGGATATTGAGATGGAGAGATTATCCAGGTAGGCCCAATGCAATCAACATGGAACCTTATCAGGAAAGGAAGTCAGCGTTAGAAAGAGATGTTACAAGAAAGCAGAAGTCTTAGTTATACGACCAAGGAATATAGGCAGCCTCCAGAAGCTGGAAAAGTTAGGCAACCAATTTTCCTCAGAGCTTCTGGTAGGAACACCTGGGCTCACACCTTGATTTTAGCCCCAGAAGACACACTTCCGATTTCTGATCTTCCGAACTCTAACAAATTTGTGTGCAGCTACTAAACCTGTGGTAATTTTTTATAGCAACAGTAGGAAACTGACACAAGCACCCAGTCAACTCCTGCAAACCTGTATGAGCTGCCTCTAGAACACCAAGTTAACTTTTTTCTTTTTTATCTCTTACCTAGTGACGAGACAAGCCCAAATTGGCAAATGGCAGCCTTACTGTGCAGTCCAGTGGAAGTATTCCCATGTCCTCTGGTGGGAGCATGCCTCCCTTGGGTAATAGAACTTGTGAAGAGCCATGGTCAGAATCACAGAGACATGAAGATCAACATTTAAGAGTCAGTTAGATAGGACAGAATTACCACTCCATATTTACCCTCTTTTCCTGCGTTCCATCTATTTTGTTCTACGTGAAAGGCTACTGCACATTTGCTTACCGGTGCACAATTTACAGCGCTTCCTATAGAACTTCAGTCTTGTAAGGTGTTGTCCCTTACTTATGGCCATGGACTGGGCACCTTTTGTACCCATTGGTGCACCTTTCTACTCCAGCCTTTGCTGTGGCTACCAGGTGCTTGCAGGTGTGACCTAACAGCCCATGGCTTCCACTGCTTTCTCCAAGTATCTTGCTTTCTGCCCCAGGGCTTCTTTCATGGAATTCACCTCGTGGGTTGTCTGTGGGAACTTGCACTGTGATTTTGATACATGTGTCAACCTAAAAGTGCCAACTTGAGAGTTCGAAGGAGTTAACCAGCAACTGGGAAACCCTTGACCAATGAAGGACAGGAGCCAGTGCATAAATATTCCCTCTTCCTTCCCTGGTTGGACAATTATGAGGCACATTCTACAGTGCTGCAGAGTATTTCCAGCAGAATCGACATCCACATGCCCAAAGCAGTGACCTTCTGGATCAGTCGTCCTTGGATTGGCTTTCCTGGTTTGCCTGTTTTACCCTTCCTACTCTCTGACTCCTGTTCCTTGGGATCACTCCTAAAAATAAACTACCTGTTTGCACGCCCTTGTCTCAGACTCTGCTTTTGGGGGAAATTAAGTCTAAAAGATTTGGTAGTAGAAGTGACCCAAGAGAGACACCTGGGTGGCTTAGTCGTTAAGCATCTGCCTTCGGCTCGGGTCATGATCCCAGGGTCCTGGAATCGAGCCCCTCATCGGGCTCCTTCCTCAGCGGGAAGCCTGCTTCTCCCTCTACCACTCCCCTGCTTGTGTTCCAGCTCTCACTGTGTCTCTCTCTGTCAAATAAATAAATAAAACCTTAAAAAAAAAAAAAAAGAAGTGACCCAAGAAAGCAGATTCTCAGCATAGGATTCTAGAACTGGATCAGACCTCAATGAGCACCCCATTCTTGGTGATTCATGCAGTAGTGATAACCCTTGACAATGCAGTAGCCTCATAATTACTAAAATTCTCACCAGTGGCATACTGTAATAAGGTGTATAAGAAAGGTGAAGCATTGACTTAAGAGACAGAGGTAACATTTGAATGGCTTGTGGCAATAGTATTATAAGGATTATGGTGTCAGCTGGCTTTAGTTAATGGCTTTTGAAGTCTGGGGAAAAAAGTTAACAGGTTAGCTAGCAACATGAATATCTATATCTATAGCTATATATCTATATATTTCAACCTTGGCTTGAGTGTTACACTGAACTGAAGTTACTCACTTCTTCTTCATCAGTCATTTCTTTCTGTCCCTTTCCCTAACTTCTCTGCTGCATGTGACAGTTCCTAAAAGTTCATTCTTAGGTTCTCTATTCCTTATTCTTTCCACTGATGAATTACCCTTGTCTCATGTCTTTAGTTATTATTTAGTTTCATTTCAGTGTCTCTCTGGTGTGTCTGCCATCCTTTTTTTTTTTTTATAAAGATTTTATTTATTTATTTGAGACAGAGAGAATGAGAGAGAGCATGAGAGGGAGGAGGGTCAGAGGGAGAAGCAGACCCCCTGCCGAGCAGGGAGCCCGATGCGGGACTCCAGGATCATGACCTGAGCCGAAGGCAGTCGCTTAACCAACTGAGCCACCCAGACGCCCTGTCTGCCATCCTTTTATTTAGCTTTAGGTTCTTGAACATCTTGCTTCAAATGTGCTAAATGACATTGGACAGTGAGTGTGTCAGTAAATTGCCACAAGATGGCAGCCTTGCTAATTTTGGCTTCAAGTTGGAGGGAGTAGGAGTGACTTCTAAAAAGAGTTTAATCTTATTTATTTAACATTTGTTGAAAGCCTGCTCAATACCTGGTCTTTTAATATATTAGTATTGGGTTTTAAAAAAATTCACGAAAGTTAAGTATAATCCCCTTTGCAGATGAGAAAACTGAGTTGAAAATGGTTAACTTGCGCAAAGTCAGGACCTAGATTTGAAACCAGTTTTCTGACTCCAAACCCCATTCTCTTTCCATTACGTAAGTGAATCTCAAGCTACAACAGTATTATTTAGGGGTTTTTGTTTTTGTTTTCGTTTTAATTACAAGTAACCGAAAACCAACTTGAGCTAGTTTAACAACAACACAATAAAGCTTTTAGGAATGCCTCATGGAAGCCTAAAAGGAAACGATGTCTTGGCTTTAAAAGAGAGAATAGAGCTAGGAATTGGAAAGCCTTCAAGACTCAGAGGAGGAAGGACAGAAAAATGGGGGAGGGGAAGAGAAAGGGAAAGCTGGGGTGGCCTAAGAGATTAAACTCTGCCCCATTCCTCATTCAACTAGAATAGTCCCATTTTTAATGCATTTTACCTATTGGGGCCCTGATGTCAGGTTCTGTTTGAAAAATAAGGATTATAGGGGTGCCTGGGTGGCTCAGTTGTTAAGTGTCTGCCTTCAGCTCAGGTCACGGTCCCAGGGTCCTGGGATCGAGCCCCATATCGGGCTCCCTCCTTGGAAGGGAGTCTGCTTCTCCCTCTCCCACTCCCCCTGCTTGTCTTCCCTCTCTCACTGTGTCTCTCTCTGTCAAATAAATAAAATCTTAAAAAAAAAAGAAAGAAAAAGAAGGTTTGGATATATTAGACAGTGCTTTTAAACCACTGGTGTAATGTATGAAGCCATTCCCATATTACTGGACATTTAGGGCTGTTGAGGTTTTCCTAATTTTTCACTCTAGTAAGTAAAATTGTGATGCATATTCTTTCATATTGTCCTGGACAGTGCATGAAGCCATCTAGTACTTCCGTTTCTCCTGACCTTTACAACTTCCCTTAAGGGAGGAAAGGGGTGAGGAGTGTAGCCTTAGGCAATTCTAGCCTGTGCCCAAAGGCCAGTGCTATTTGGGCCTTCCCTGATGGTCAGCCAGTCCAGAAATACGTAGCGCGCATCTAACTACATGCCAGGTACTACTGAGCACTGTGGACGCAATGGTGAATAAAATAGGTACAGCCTCTCATCATGGAGCCTAGTAGGGAAGACGGACATGAAACAGATAGTCCACTAAATAATTACAAGAATCTGAAGCAAAGTGCTGTGTCAGAGAAGTTCAGAAGGTTAAGGAAATACACAACACAGTGAGATGACCTAATCTCGGGGGAGAGGGGGCATTAGGGCAGGCTGCCCTGAGGAAATGTTATTTAATCTGAGACTTGCGAGATCGAGCCCCATGTCCAGTTCCACACTGAGGGTGGAGCCTGCTTAAGATTCTCTCTCCTTCTCCTTCTGCCCTTCCCTGCTCGCACATGTGCGCTCTCTCTCTCTCTCAAAAAAAAGGAAAATGGAAGGTACACAACAGAGCCAATATAAAATCCTACAAGCATATGTTGATTAGAGTTTAGTCCAACTGCCTGAGACTCATTCTTGTTCACTGTGGTTTTTGGCTCCAGTGTCTGGGCTCTTGATTCCACCCTCTGAATCATCCTTTCTTTCTCATAAGAAAATTCAGTTAGCAACTGGGTAGCCTCAAGGCCCTTCCAGCCCTCTGCCATGCAGTTCCAAAGCCAATGCCAATGTTTTAGGCTTTTGTTATGGCAACATCCATACCAAACTGTTTCATTATTGCTACATAGTGAATCACCCCCCAAATTTAGAAGCTGTATAAATTGGAGTCCTCTCAGAAGCAGATGACAAGGATGGAATCAGAAGTCCAAGGAGGCAATGCCTGTGAAAGATAAAGATGAGAGGAAGTAGGAGTAGACAGGGAGAATCTTCAGACCATGATGTGGGACCTACACCTGTAACAGAAAGACTGGGTAGAAAATGCTTCAGAGTTGCATTTTCTGAAGCGGGGCAGAGAAGCTCTGAAGAAGACTTGGCCAGACTTATTTCCCATTACAGCCCCACAAGAGGGAGAAATGGCCCAGCTTCAGTATGCCCACTGGGCTTAGTCATCAGCTGGGACTAATCCAGGGAGAGTGTGCCTTGGCATGAATGTCGTGGCAAATCCCAACAGTATGACAGTTGGCAGATGTCAGCTACCTAAGCTCTTCACAGCAGTTCTTTTCTAAAAGGTATATCTAAGAGCTCATGCACACAGTCCGTCCCTTGCACTGCTCAGGATCCAATCTTCCACACATCTTTGGAAAGCAGCTCCTCCTTCCAGGCCTCTCTTATTGAAGGAAAACTTAGAAGAGGGAGGTTAATGGTAGGAACTATAGCTCCCATTGCTGCAAATGGTTGAATTGTCTCTTTTTTTTTAAATTAATTTAGAGACTCTTATTGTATATTACAGGTATTAATCCCTTTTCAATTCCATATATTGCAAACATTTTTCCAATTCATCCTTTGACTTTGTTATCTTTTCCGTTATTAAAAAAATGGATTTTGCCGAGGTCAAATAAACCTAACTTTTCCTTTTTTAACCTTTAAACTTTAATGCACCCAGAATTTATTTCTGAATGTAGTGAGTTTGGGAGTCCCATCTTACTTTCTTTCTGGTGGTTGGCTAATTGTGCCAGTGCCATTTATTAATTTTACTAAATAAACCACACATTCCTCACTGAATTAAAATACCATTTTGTCATTCCTAAAATCTTCATGTACACATGTCTGAACTCAGTCTATTTTTATGCTAACATTTACTTTTTCATAATCAGTATTTTATTATTTTTTTGATGATCAGAACACAGACACTATGAACAATTTGTACATAATTCTAAGTATTGAAAATCAAAGTTACATGGCTGTAATAATTTTTTTTATGGCTGTAATAACTTTCTGAACAACTTTGCAATGTTCTAGCTTAAAAATTGCAATCGATTTGTTCATAAAAAGAGAATATCAAATACCAGTATCTTAAAATACTGATGAACTATTAGGTGTAAAACTCCACATATTTATAGTTAAAATCAAGCATAATGCCTATACCATAAAATTTTCGAATACTTCATATCCCATTAACAAAGAATGAAAAAACTAGATCATACCATGCAAAAGATGTCACAGATGGCATACAATTATGACAGTTGTTTTGTTTTGTTTTAAGGTTTGATTTAATATATTTTTATTTAGAAAACTTTACCCAATATTAGAGAGTATATATTTTCATCAAGCATTTCCATGGAGCTTTTGTAAATATTGTCCGTACTCTAGACCATGCTCTACCTTTGTTGAAAACAAGTCTCAAATACCAAAGAATCAGTATTTTACTTACCACATTGTGTGTCTACCTCATAATTGGAGGACAATAATAGCAACACCTTAAAATATTCTGTATGTTTGGAAATATTAAAACATACTGCTAAACTGTTCAAATAAGACAGCATATAGGAAATCAGAAAATACTTAGAGCTGACTTAAAAAATACAATATATTGGATGCCTGGGTGACTCAGTCGGTTAAATGTCTGCCTTCGGCTCAGGTCATGATCCCAGGGTCCTGGGATCAAGTCCTGCATCGGACTCCCTGTTCAGTGGGGAGTCTGCTTCTCCCTCTGCCCCTCTCCCTGCTTGTGATCTCTCTCTCTTTCTCTCTCTCAAATAAATAAATAAATAAATAAAATCTTTAAAAAAAATACGATATATTAGGGGCACCTGGGTGGCTCAGTCGTTAAGTGTCTGCCTTCAGCTCAGGTCATGGTCCCAGGGTCCTGGGATCGAGCCCCGCATCGGGCTCCCAGCTCAGCGGGAAGCCTGCTTCTCCCTCTCCCACTCCCCCAGCTTGTGTTCCCTCTCTCGCTGCGTCTCTCTCTGTCAAATAAATAAATAAAATCTTTAAAAAAAGAATACGATATATTAAAACTTATGGAATGTGCTTAATGCATAGCCTGAGTGCTCATATTAGAAGATAAACCAATTACTTAAAAAGCTGAGCGTCGGGGTGCTTGGCTGGTTCAATTCGTAGAACATGCAACTGACTCTTGATCTTGGGGTGGTGTGTAGAGATTGCTTAAAAATAAAATCTTAAAAAAATTTTTTTAAATAAATAAAAAGCTAAGTGTTAAATTCAAGAAGTTAGAGAACAGCAGAACTGATCCAAAAAAATAGAAGTAATGAGATATAAAAATAAGAGGAGAAACTAAATAAATAGAAAACAAATACATATGATTAAAAAAAGGTTGGCAGGACACCTGGGTGGCTCAGTCGTTAAGTGTCTGCCTTCGGCTCAGGTCATGATCCCAGGATCCTGGGATCGAGTGCCACATCGGGCTCCTTGCTCAGCTGGGAGTCTGCTTCTCCCTGTTCCCCTCCCCCAGCTTGTACTTGTCCTTGTTCTCTCTCTCTCTCTCTCTCTCTCAAAAATAAATAAATAAAATCTTTAAAAAATAAAAATAAAAAGATAAAAAAAGATTGGCAGAGGCAAAAGCTGATTCTTTGAGAAAAGTCATAAAAGAGACAAAACTCTAGTGAAATGATGAAGAGAAGGAACAAAAAAATTTTAAGTAAAAAAGAAGACATACTACAGATAAAACAGAGACTGATGGAGTAACATATTTAAAAACTATTTACCAAAACAAAACAAAACAACAACAACAAAAAACTATTTACCACAGCTCACCCTCTAGCCAACATACCTCACATCCATCAAATATGCAAAATACATTCAACCTCCTGCCAGGACATTCTCATCACATTATGGTGTCAGCTCAACGTACAGGACCTCATCCTCTAAATGAGGTCGAGTTGTAGATGAGACTCTTCAGATGTGGTTCCTCTTGATCTGGAGATATGTGAAATGAGTAAATCAAGTTGTCTGCAACACAAACATAGTATACATTGGTGTTATGGGGTTAGGATAATGCAAAAAACATTTAAAGAGGTGGGGAAGGATAGGAAAAAGTCAGTGTTTTGTAGTAATTCTGAAACCCATGCAATTCTGAAACCCCCAAACCCCATGAATATGTTTCTATTTACTTGATTGTGACTCAGTCCTGCTTCCTGGGAATGATTCTTTTTTTTTTTTTTAAGATTTTATTTATTTATTTGAGACAGAGAGAATGAGAGAGAGAGCACATGAGAGGGGGGAGGGTCAGAGGGAGAAGCAGGCTCCCCGCTGAGCAGGGAGCCCGATGCGGGACTCGATCCCGGGACTCCAGGATCATGACCTGAGCTGAAAGCAGTCGCTTAACCAACTGAGCCACCCAGGCGCCCCCCTGGGAATGATTCTTTGTGGCTCTGAGCTGCTTTGTGGATTCGTGATTCTTCACTTTGAGTCATCCTTCCTTTCTTTTTTTTTAAAAGACTTTATTCATTTGAGAGAGAGAGGGAAAGAGCATAAGCAGGAGGGAGGGGCAGAGGGAGAGGGAGAAACAGACTTCCTGCTGAGCAGGGAGCCTGATGCAGGCTCATCCGACGATCCTGGGATCATGACCTGAGCCAAAGGCAGATGCTTAACCCACTGAGTCATCCAGGCGCCCCTCATCCTTCCTTTCTCATAAGAAGTGGCTCATATTCCACTGGGTGATGTATGGAATTGTTGAGTCACCATATTGTACACCTGAAATTAACATAACACTGTACACTAACTATACTGGAATTAAAACTTTAAAAAGGAAATGGCTCATATTTGCTGCTGTGTAGACTTCACAGACTGCTTCTTACCCATAGAAAGTTGGGAGTTTCCAGGGCTCTTTTCATTTTGAACTGTCCTTTTCACTTGAAGCCGGTGGTGTTTCCACAATGTAGTTCTCTTACATTTTATGTTTTTGTGAAGCTCCTTTCTACCTTGGTCTGAGATTCAGTATACTAAAGGAAAAACACCCTTAAGATTTTTTTTGTTAAAGGTTTATTTTATTTATTTTAGAGAGAGAGTGCACATGCACTCTGGGGGAGGGGCAAAGGGAGACAATCTCAAGCAGACTCCTTGCTGAGCCCAGACCTGTCATGGAGCTCAATCCCACAACCTGGAGATCATGACCTGGGCCAAAATCAAGAGTCGGACTCTCAACCAACTGAAACACCCAGGTGCCCCAACACCCTTAAGATTCTTAAAAGTTCTCTTGTCTAGTAAGAAAAAGAGTAAGAGGGATTTTATTTATTTATTTATTTTTAAAATATTTATTTAAGTAATTTCTACACCTAACGTGGGACTCAAACTCACAACTTCAAGACCAAGAATCGTGCACTTCTCTGACTGAGCCAGCCAGGTGCCCCAGTAAGAGGTATTTTAACATTCTTAGAGGCCACTTCATTTACTTGAGAGGATCTATGAAATGTGCACTTAAAACTTCCTAAAATCTTAACAAAAATTCTTAAAACTGCACTCTCGACTCCATCTTTATCTTAAGAGTATTCTTCCTTTGAGAAACTTTTGATGGCTAGAAAGACTGTCCTGAGCCCCTCACATACCCTCTAAACTCTTTGAAGCTAAACAGTTCCCTTTTTAGCTTATCTCTCTCTTCCTGTACCTTATCATAGACAGCTAAAAGAAACCAGTTGGCACTTAGAACATTCTGCCTAGAGATCTCCTTAGCCAAATTCACCCATACATTAAGTGTACTTTTTATTTTGTGTTTTATCACAGATGACATTCTTATTTATTTATTTATTTGTTTGTTTGTTTGTTTATTTGGGGAGCGAGTGAGTGAGCACGTGGGGGGTGGGGGGATGGATGGGAAGAGGGAGAGGGAGAGAGAGAATCTCAGATCTCAGGCAGGCCATGCTCAGCAGCAGAACCTGATGCAGGGCTTGATCTCATGACCCTGAGATCATGACCTGAGCCGAAACTAAGAGTCAGACACAACCTACTGAGCCACCCAGGAGCCCCCAAGTGACATTGTTCTGAGTGTTTTACTACTGCATTACAGGAGTTGCCTTTCTCCCACCTCCAATGACAATTTCCTTTCTTGCCTTCAAATATCACTAACAGTCTCCTTGAGGCCCTGCCAGCTTCCAGCCACTACTGGTCCCAAGCCATTGCCACATGGTTTAGGTTTTTGTCACAGCAGCATAATACTTCTAGTATCAATTTCTGTCCTAGTTATCTATTAGTTCATAAGAAACCACATCAAAACTTACTAATTAAAACAACAACTTATTATCCCTTATGCTTTGGTGGGTTGACTGAGCTCAGTTGGGCAGTCCTCATTTGGGGTGTCTCATATGATTACCCTCAGATAGTAGGTGGGACTGGAGCCATCTGAAGCCTTGACTGGGCTGGATATCCAAGCTGACTCATTCACATAACTGGAAGTGGATGCTGGCTTTCTGCTGGGAGCTTAGTTGGGTCTGTCAATCAAAGTGACTACAGGTAGCCCATACACAGGGTTTGGGATTCTCACACTATGATGTCTGGGTTCTGAGAGGGACTATCTTAAGAAAAAACATTCTAAGATTCCAGATGAAAGCTACAGTGTTTCTTATGATCGGAGGAAGTCCCAGAACAGTACTTCCTCTACATTCTACTGATTAAGCAAGTCAGCATTCTGTTGATTAAGTGAGTCATTAAGTCCATTCCAGGTTCAAGGGGAGGGATAATGCCAGAGAGGCAATGAATCATGTTCATCCCTGGAGACTATCTACAAAATCAACTTTTGTAACCTAAGGGCAGGGAGAAAAAATTTTTAACTCTGAAAAGTGCAACTTGAATGGATTAGATTATATTAAAATCAAAACCTTTGGTTCAGTGAAGGACTGTGTGGGCAAAGTGAAAAGACAGATGACAAAATGAGAAAAGATACTTTCAATGTCTAATGCCAGTAAGAGATTTTTATCTAAGAGCAGAGTTCAGCAAACTCTTTCCATAAACAATCAAACAGTGAATATTTTAGCCTGATTTTGTGATCCATTTGTTCTCTGACACAATTTTTCAACTCTACTGTTGTAGCTGGGAAGCGGCCACAGGCAGAAAGTGAATGGGTGTGACTCTGTTCTAATAAAATTTTATTTACCAAAACTGGAAGTGGGCCAGTTTGGGTCTGTGAGCCATAGTTTGCTGATCCCTGATCTAGAAAAGACAACGAACTCCTGTATATCAACAAGAAAAATACAGCAACTCCAATTTTAAAAATAGAAAGGGATATAAGTAGGCAATACACAGCAGAGGAAAATCAGAAGAGTAATAAGCATATGAAGAGATATTTAAACTAAATTATAATCAGAGAAATATAAATTAACAATGAGATATTACTTTACATCTAATCAGACAGCAAAAATTAGGGAGATAATGGTGAGCTTTGTTGAGGAAATAGGGACTCTTCATGATGGGAATAAAGACAGGTGCAGGGGCACCTGGGTGGCTCAGTCTGTCAGATAAATAAATAAAATCTTAAAAAGAAAAAAAGACAGGTGCAACTATTCTAGAGTACAATATGGTGGCACATAGTTTAATAGTGTATGTGTATACCTAATGACTCAGCAAATCTGCTCCCAAGTCTGTATCTCAATGAAATTCCCACACAAGTCCTTAAGGAGTCATGAACTAGAATGTTCATTGCAGCATTACTTGTGGTGCAGAAGAGTGGAGACCATCTGAATTTCTGTCATCTGAAGAGTAAATACATAAAATGTAGTGAATGTACACCAGAGAGTACTATATAGCAGTTGGGAGCAATGAGTTAGATACACAGTGCTGGTTTTAACAAGTCAGAATAAGTTATAAACACAAACCACTTATGCAAATGTAAAATATATAGGCACAAAACAATATCTGTTTTGCAAGAACACAAACACGAAGCTATATATCAAACACAAACAAAAATTACAGTGGTTGTCTATGGAGTAGGAAAGGAAGTGATTATGGAATGAAAGGGAATATATAGAGAGAGAACATTGCATGCACCAATGATGATAATGTGCCATGAAATGAGGAAAATGATTAACTGCATCTGAGGTTAAAATAAAAATAACAGATAATATAAAATGCCAGAGTGTCAGTTTTTCTTTTGAAGGAGTAAAGAAGGCAACTCCAAAGGAAGATGAACCTCAACAAAAACTGTGAACCTCCCCATTCAGTTCTCTTTACTTGGGATTAGCCACACACAGGCTAGCATGTGAAAGAGTGTGCTGGGTAGCCAGCATGAAAAACATCTGAACAATAGTGTGCAATGTCTGTTTGAGGTTACCAAGGTTTGAATTCGTGTATTCCAAATTCTGAATGTGTATTGATGACAGCGAAAGAAGTGTAGGTTATATCTGAATCCACCTACCCATGCATAGTATCCAATATCCATAGTATGATTCCATTTTCATTAAAAAATACCATTGTAGGGATGCCTGGTTGGCTCAGTCAGTAGAGCATGCAACTCTTGATCTTGGGGTTGTAAGTCGAGCCCCACATTGAGTGCAGAGATTATTTAAAAAAAATAAAATCATAAAAAATGTACTGTTATATATTAATACATATATACATACAAAAAAAGTTGGAGGACTTTGCTCTAAACTGTTGACAGAGGTACCCATGGGGTGGGTGTGTCAGAGATTGGTCAATAATTCATTAAATCTCTTTCCTCTTCCTTCTAGACACCCATTAGCTTATATCTCTCAGCCACCCTTGCAGATAGGAATGAACACGTGCCTGAGATCTGGTCAATAGAATTGACAATTCTCCATGCTCTTTCTCCTTCTATGGCTACTTTGGAAGGTCTGTGTTCAATATGCAGACACAAGATGAAAGGAGCCTGGGCCCCTGAATCATTGTTTAGAAGAGAGCAGTTTAATGATCAGAAGGAAAAAATATTTTTTATTTTATTAGGCATCTGAGATCTCAGGGTTTGTTAAACTGCTGGTATACCTTAACTCATACAGCAGTATTTAGGAATCTTTAACTTTCTATATTATACATTTAGGTATTGTTTGCATTTTGTAGAACTTTCTTTTTTATTATTTTTTTCTTTTCTTTCTTTTTTTTAAACCAGTAAAAATGGGTTTATTTGGGAATAGCAGAGAATTAGAATCCAGGACAAACAAGCTACAGCAAAAATCATAGGCAACTTCTTATAATGCATTTATAATTAGCCTTCTATCCAATATATATTTTTTAAATTAATGTTTCATAATTTATAATCAACTCTTTTTCCTTGTTCTCTGAGTAATTCCTTCTTTTTTTTTTTTTTAAGATTTTTATTTATTTATTTGACAGAGAGAGACACAGCGAGAGAGGGAACACAAGCAGGGGGAGTGGGAGAGGGAGAAGAAGGCTTCCCGTGGAGCAGGGAGCCCGATGTGGGGCTCGATCCCAGGACTCTGGGATCACGACCCGAGCCGAAGGCAGACCCTTAACGACTGAGCCACCGAGGCGCCCCTCTGAGTAATTCCTTCTTAACATTTTTGTAGTAAACGCAAAGTTGAATGGTGTTACTGGATGGCTGATTGTCCAAGGTGTAGAAGTATAGAAGTCAGCTTGCTATCCTTTTTGGTTCTCTTTCTTTCTTTTTTTAAAAAAAAGATTTATTTATTTATTTGAGAGAGAGCCCATGTGCCTGGGGGGAGGGGCAGAAGGAGATGGGGAGAGAATCCCAAGCTGACTCCTTGCTGAGCACAGAACCTGATGCAGGGCTAGATCCCAGGACCCTGAGATCACAACCTGAGGCGAAACCAATAGTCAGATGCCACCCAGGTGCCCCTCTTTTTCATTTTCTTAATTAAGATATAATTTACACACTATAAAATTCACCCTTCTAAGTATACAAAATTCAGTAGTTTTTTTTTTTTTTTAAAGATTTTATTTATTTATTTGACAGAGAGAGACAGCGAGAGAGGGAACACAAGCAGGGGGAGTGGGAGAGGGAGAAGCAGGCTTCCCCGCAGAGCAGGGGGCCCGATGTGGGGCTCTATCCCAGGACCCTGGGATCATGACCTAAGCCAAAAGCAGATGCTTAACGACTGAGCCACCCAGGTGCCCCCAAATTCAGTAATTTTTAATGTATTTATCAGGCCTTGCAACCGTCACCACATATCCAGAACATTTCCCTCACCTCAAAAAGAAGCCCCATGCCCTTTAGCAGTCATCATTCCCCATGGCCCCCACCCAGCATCTGACAACCACTGATCTACTTTCTGTCTCTATGAATTTTCCCATTCTGTGCATTTCATATAAATGGAATCTACAATATGTGACCTTTTGTGTCTGGCTTCTTTCACTAAGCACAATATTTTCAAGGTCTATCTATGTTGCATCATATATTACTACTTTACTCATTTTATGTGTGAATACTATTTCATTTATGGATATACCATATTTTGTTTACTTATTCATCAGTTGATGGACATTTGAGTTGTTTCCACTTTCTGACTTATGAATAGTGATGCTATGTACAAGTTTTTGTATGAACATATGTTTTTTCAATTTCCTGGGGTATATACCTGGGAGTAAAATTTCTGGGTCATACGGCAACTCTATGTGTAACTTTTTGAGCAACTGATAAACTATTTTCAGCAGTAGCTGTATCATTTTGTATTCCCACCAACAATGTATCAGGGTTCCAATTTCTCAACATTCTCTCTAACGCTTGTTATTGTCTGTCTTTGATTATGGCAATCCTAGTGGGTATAAAGTGGTATTTCATTGTGGTTTCAATTTGCATTTCCCTAATGATTAATTTCTTTCTATTTTAATGTGTGTGTGTGTGTGTGTGTGTGTGGTGATGTGAAATTACTTTGCTATAGTGATAAGGTATTTGTGGATTATATGTTAAAGAAAACATAAAACAGAGAGTTGGTTCTATTCTCTCCCATGTTTTTCATTCATCTCTTCTCCCCCACAACAAACAAAAAGACAATAAATTCATTTTAACTTCTTTATGTAGCAAGGTGGCTAGGTGGGATACAGTTTGGGAGTCAGTGCTTCTCATAAGTGAAATTCATTAATACCCTTCTCTCCACCTCCACATATCTATTTAAAGCTTAGTCAGCTCAGGCTGCCTTGACAAAATACCATAGACAGGTGGCTTGAAAAACAGAAATTAATTTTCTCACAGTTCTGGAGGCTGAAACGTCTAAGTTGAAGGTGCCAACTGATTCGGTTTCCGTTGAGACTCTCTTCTTGGCTTGCAGACAGCCACCTTCTTGCTATGTCCTCACATGGCCTTTCCTCAGTGCATGCTCTTCGGGAGGGAGAGGGGGAGAGAGAGAGAGAAGAGAGAGAGAAAGAGATGATGCGAGTACTCTGGTGTCTCTTCTTATAAGGACCCTAATCCTAACAGGTCAGGAGAGCCATCCTCCTGACCTCATTTAACCTTAATTGTTTCCTTAAATGTTCTATCTCCAAATACAGCCACACTAGGGGTTTAGGGCTTCAACATATGAATGGGGAGCAGGGAACACAAACATTCAGTATATCCATTGATTTCTTAAGAACCTCCCGAGAAGGGGCGCCTGGGTGGCTCAGTCGGGTTAGCGTCTGCCTTCGGCTCAGGTCATGGTCCCAGGGTCCTGGGATCGAGCCCCACATCAGGCTCCCTGCTCAGTGGGGAGCCTGCTTCTCTCTCTCCCTCTGCCTGCCACTCCCCCTGCTTGTGCTCACTCTCTCTCTGTCAAATTAATAAAATCTTAAAAAAAAAGAACCTCCCGAGAAACAGTGTTGATTTCTGTCCACTATTTGATTCAGACACATCTGAATGCCATCTGATGGATCGGTATGGCCCTGACTGACTGCAGGGAAGCTCAACTGTGCACTTGAGGAAAAATTCGAGAAGGGGGCTGCATGAGGCTGGCACAAAAAGCCAAATCCAGCAACAGGGACCACAAGAGGGGAGTACCAGGTAACTGCACTGTGCTACACCAAGGGCACCATTCATTTCATAATCTATGTGAGTGGCACTCCCTGGAGTTTCTTGGTAGTACAAAACCAATAAGGCTGTACCCTACGTGGTGGTTCTGAATATGATGTATCTGAAACTACTGGTACTCTTCCAGGAACCATTCCCATCCAGATATTATGGAGGTAGTCTGGGAGAAAATTGCTTTATGCATGTGTTGAAAAAGCTAGGTCACTAAATATCATCTCAGGGGGGGTTCTTTTTGCTATCTCTGGTACTTTTTCCGAGTTTAGAGTCCTTTTGCCATGGGTCCCTCCCAACTGAGCTTAATGCTAAGGGATTAACTACTAACTAAAGTCCTTTGTCTATAAGCAATGGAGACTAACTCTGGTTAACTTAAGGGGGAACATATAGGAACTTATTTTTTTTTTTTAAGATTTTATTTATTTATTTGAGAGAGAGAATGAGAGACAGAGAGTACGAGAGGGAAGAGGGTCAGAGGGAGAAGCAGACCCCCTGCTGAGCAGGGAGCCTGATGCGGGACTCGATCCCGGGACTCCAGGATCATGACCAGAGCCGAAGGCAGTCGCTTAACCAACTGAGCCACCCAGGCGCCCCCATATAGGAACTTATTGAAAGAAAATGTGAAAATTCACAAAATCAAAGGACAGTCTGGGGAACCAGGTATCAAGATATTCAGAAATCAGGGCAGTTCTGGATATGTAGTTAATAGAAAGCCTATTGAGGATGCTGCCCCAGAATGAATCAGCTCTAAGAGTTTTCTGTTCTTCCTGTCTCCCACTAAAATATTCTTCCAGAGAAAGCACTTCCCAGTGGCCTAGTTGGGAATTGATGCCATCCTCTGACTAGGGAAGGAAAGAGAACCATGACTGACAGCCCACCAAGCCAGCAAGCAGTGGGGGAGGAGACACTCTCCAAAAGAAGGAGCTAGAATGCTGATAGAGAAAAACAACAGATGTCCTTGCATTCCAACCACGGGTTGCCAAGCAACGTCCTCCCACTTTTTTTCATACCATACACAACTTTTTAAATGCCTCTGCCTGACATAATATAATTATCTCACAGGCAAGCAAAAAAACCCCACACTCAACTCCTTCCAAAAGGATACAACCCTGTCCAGTTATGGCATCCATTCCTTCCCTGGTTCTATCAAGATCCCCCTCCATACTTTGAAGCTTGTGGACAAAATGACGAATTTAAACATTGCCAATGAACACCATACACAATTCTAGGGGAAGGGAATAGGGAAGAGAAGGATAACTACTTTTAAATATATCTGACTTTCTGTATATTATTGGATGTAAATTGAAGAAGGAAAAACCCCATCTTCCTCCTGTGTTTCCCCTTTACTCTCATATGACTACCACACTCATAGCACTTCTGACACCAGGTGGGGGTTTTTTCTGCAACACTAGCTGAGCATCCTCCAATTTAACTCCATTCTGATGCTCTCTACCTGAAAACAGTGTCAGATCCCACAGGTTACAGGCTCAGTCCTATAAGACTGCCTCCCACCCTTACTTCAGATGCCAATTGCAAACTCAGGTTGTCACCTGTGCTTCTGACCAGCTGGCTGTAAATCAAAGGTTCCCATGATCCCCTCCTCAGGTTCAATTAATTTGCTAGAGAGGCTCAAAGGACTCAGGAAAACCATCTACTTGCTGTGTAATAGTTTATTATAAAAGGTGTGGTAAAGGACACAGATGAACATCCAGATGGAAGTGATATGTGGGGTAAGGTATATGGGAAGGAGCACAGGGCTTCCATGCCCCTCTGGGCATGCCTCCACATGTTCAGCAACCTGGATGCTCTCTGAACCCTACACTACTATTGGGATTTTTTAAAAAGATTTTATTTATTTATTTGACAGAGAGAGACACAGCGAAAGAGGGAACATAAGCAGGGGGAGTGGGAGAAGGAGAAGCAGGCTTCCCGCTGAGCAGGGAGCCCGATCCGTCCTGGGATCATGACCTGAGCTGAAAGCAGATGCCCAACCGACTGAGCCACCCAGGGCGCCCCAAATTCTAAGCTTCTAATCATGACTTGGTTTATCTGATGACCAGCTGCCAACCAGGAGCCCACCAGAGTCACCTCATTAGAACAAAAGATGCTACTACCACCCGGGAAATTCCAAGGGATTTAGGGACTTTGCATCAGGACTTGAGTTAAAGACAAAATGCTAGAACAAAAGATGTTCCTAGTGCTCTTATCACTGAGGAAATTAGGAGGGTTTTAGGAGTTCTGTGCCAGGAACCAGGGGCAGAGACAGATACATATATTCTATTATCTCACGAAGTTATACCTCAATAAAAGAGAAAAAATATACATGACACAGCAAGGAAGGAAATACAAGTACGGACAGCAGTTCTCACTTACGGAGCTGATTATGGTTTTTATGACTTCTCTCCTCCCCTGCCCATCTATATTCTCTTTCACTGGCCAGCACGCCATTGGTCTAGTGCTTTGCCAGGTGGGTTGTGGTAGACAGTCTTCAGGTAGCACCCAGTGGTTCTCAACTCAGGTGTTCATGCCCTTGTATAGTCCCCTGCCACACTGAATAGATCCTAGAATATTTTTAATTACTGGGATCAAGTCCTCCCCCAGGGTAGCTATATCATCTGCTCTTATGCTTACTACTCTGGTTTTCAGCTCTCTTTCCACTTTGGACGCTGAAGATTTCTCTTTCATCTTACCAATTCATTTACGAGTTTCCTTAAATTTTAGTCAGGATTTCTAAGTGTTTATAATATAAATGTTTTCAGTTTTTCTTATGTTTCAGATTGCTGAAGTTGGAAGTCCCTGTGTGTTTACTTTTCCATCTCCTCCACTAGACTGCAAGCTCCATAGGGACAGGGAGGATGTTTGGTTCATAATTATGTTCCCACAATCTAGCACTGTGCCTGGTCTATAATGGACATTTATTACATGTTTGTTAAAGGCATGAATGCAAGCAGGGAAGGAATGAATGCCATAACTGGACATGGGTTTCTCCTTTTGGAAGGCATTGAGTGCATTTTTTGTTTGCATGTGAGATTATTACATTCAGTAATTAATCAATTGATTAATGAGAAGGCACATAGAAGACTTTCCTCCTTTTTAAAAAAAAAAGATTTTATTTATTTATTTGACAGAGAGAGAGAGAGGCAGCTAGAGAGGGAACACAAGCAGGGGGAGTGGGAGAGGGAGAAGCAGGCTCCTGGCCAAGCAGGGAGCCCGATGCAAGGCTTAATCCCAGGACCCTGGATTCATGACCTGAGCCGAAGGCAGACACTTAACGACTGAGCCACCCAGGCGCCCCAAGACTTTCCTCCTTTAACAAGATTCTCTTTCAGAATTGTTTGTTGCTGATAATTAGACCTTGATACTTGCCTTTTAGATTACCAGTGTTTGGCCTGCAAACATGGTTGTCATTTGAGTTTTACTTCTTCTTACATTTATTTTTTATAAAACTTTGAAAATCTCTAGAGGAAGTGGAATTTGGTTATGCTGACCTAGTGTTAACACTGACAGACATAGACTTCTCCATGTCAGGCTAAAAGAAACAACATTTATTTATGTAAACAAATTTTGCATTGTTATTTGTAGAATCGTTCTTTAATGGATGGATATTTGAGTGATTGAAAATTTGTATTGTTTAGAAGAGTTGTCCCCTAGTCTGTAGAGTTTGACTTGGTCAATTACATGATCAAAAGAGAATTCTTGATTCTTTTTTTCCAAACCTGCACTTGCCCCATCTTTCCCTTTTCTGAAATTTTATCTAGTATTCAGGTCAAACCCTTAAGAAACAACTGTGAATCCTTTTTTCTTCCCATCTCTCAGCTCTCACACTCCAATTCATTAGCAGTCTTGTTGACTCTCTTCAAAAGATTTCAAGGGAGGCCTGTGTGGCTCAGTCAGTTAAGTCCAACTCTTGATCTCAGCTCAGGTCTTGATCTCAGGGTTGTGAATTCAAGCCCCGCATTAGGCTACATGCCTGTGGAGCCTACTTAAAAAAAAAAAAAATTAGAGAATCCAATCTCTTCTCTGAAGCCCTATCTACCAAGTCTAAAGTCCCATCATCTGTTACCTAGCATACTGTGATGGAGCCCTAACTCATCTGCCTGTTTTCACTCTTGTCCCCACTATCAGTTCTCCACTCAACAGCCAGATGGAACTTTTCCAAAATATAAATCAGATCCCATTATACATACATATATATATATATATATATATATATATATATATAATGGGCTAATGTAAAAGGTATCTGGAAAACTTAGCCTCTGTGTCATCCCTGGCTACACTGTAGATAGCTAGGGACCATTTCATAAAAATGATGTGATGTT